AGCAGTTTTCTGCCATTAGCAGCAAATCTTCTCCCTTCCCTGCACGTTTAGATGCCTGTCTAGGAACATTCACTTGCAAGTTGTTTACTTATGACTAAACTGCTCCCATATAAAATGCACAAGTAGACACACCCACTGATAGGTGCAATGACCATTCAGATCTCTGTTAATTTGTGGCTTATATTCTTATGGCCTTTTGTTTTTTGTTTGGAGAGAAAAAAAGTTGCTGCAAATATTTAGTCCGCTTAAGAACTTGATTGAGAAATACATATTCTTCCTCTCTCACAGATCTGACAATTTCATGGCGTTGTTTTTATCAGCTGTCTTGCTTTTCATTCTGAAGGCCTAGTGAGCTCTAAGCATTCTGATCTCTCCCCACACATGCACTATTTGGTAGAACTCAGAGTAGCTTTATACAAGATCTGGCAGGAACAATTAAACCCTGGTTTACACCTTTCATTTTGAAATTACTTCTTGCAAGTGTTAGATTTCCTTGACTGGCTTTAAAGTTTAATTTTATAGGAAATATAGAAATATATTAGAATGATTTGGAGAAGTACTTTAGGAGTACTAAGAGTATACATTTCTACAGGTATAGCTTTTGGCATATAACAGATACATCAACAAAGCACTTCTAGTATGGTCTCAGCTATATCAACAAACTGGAGTCAACATCAGCATAATTCATTCTGTATCTTAAAGGTGCCTGGGCTATTAAGTGCTCCTACAGAACTGATGATGAGAGGTATCACCATATGGCTACCATGTAGGAGTCTCCTTCCTTATCTTTACATAGAGGAGAACTGCTCATTACTCTCATTTTAATTCCTCATGCAACTGACATGAGTTTATCCTAATCATAGAATCGTATGAAATTAGGGCTGGAAGGGACCTCAGGAGGTTATATAGTCTAACCCCTGCTCAAAGCAAGACCATCCCCAACTAGATAATCCCAGACAAAGCTTTGTCTAACCAGGTTTTAAAAGCCTCCAATGATGGAGACTTCACCACCTCTCTGGGTAACCCTCTAGTGTTATACTACCCTCCCCTAGTAAGAAAACATGTTCCTTATCCCCTGAACCATTTTTATTACCCTCTGCTGGACTCTCTCCAGTTTGTCCATATCTTTTCTGTAGTGACAGCTCCAAAACTGAACACAGTACTCCAGATGTAGCTTTACCAGTGCTGAATAGGGGGAAATAATCACTTCCCCTGACCTACTGGCAGTACACCTACCAATGCAGCCCAGTATGCTATTCACCTTCTTTGGAACAAGGGCAAATCCTTTCATTAAATGTAGATTTAATTAGATGCATATCGTTGAATGTTCCTTACCTGGTTTAACTTTCAGTCCTTCAAGTGATCAATGTAAATAAAATTGAGGTTATCCATCTCAAAAGTTGATTTAGTGATGAAAAGGATGCTTGTAGGAAATCATACCATTAAGAATCTCAGTCTCTCATCATTTAAAGACACAAGAAGCTTGTGTTTGGAGTGTGTTTTACTGTGCTGAGGCTCATGTTACACAATGCTGGCCAAGTAGAATCCAGTCACTGAATGAAACAGACCTCTCACTGTTGGCTTTGAGTGATTTCTGAACAGCACACAAACCAGGCACAAAATAAACTGAGAAACTGATCTGAGTGGAAGAACAGAATGGTTTAAAGTCACCAAAGATAAAATGCTCTGGAAACATAAAGGATGACAAGAGAAAATTTAAGCGAGCCTTTACTCTGTATTAGAAACTTGTAAAAAGTGCTGCATTTCAAGTAAAATAAATTAAACATATTAGTGACTTTTTTTAATAGACTGCAGAAATAAGGTGAAAACAGGAGATTTTAGAACTAATCTAAGACTGAAGGGCTGGTCTTGTAGTGTTGCAGGACTCACGGGGCACATCTACACATTCATTAATGCACTTTTGCTACTGCACATTAAATTTAGTACCTCTAATGTGAGGTACTAAATAAATGCACATTAGGCTGCTCTAGTGCACAGTAGCAAAAGCTCATGCTTTTTAGTGATTTTTAATGTGCAGTTTCCTATTTTTACTGTGTATTAATGGTTTTTGATGTGAAGCTTTAATGCACAGTAAAACTGGCTACTGCACATTAAAGTGCATGTGTAGATGTACCCACCGTGTCCCTGAAAAGACACCAGTTTGTGATTGTGATATGATGGAAAACACTTTGAGGCATACTTTTTGGAGACCCAGAAGTAACCCTTGACAAAACAATTAGAATTTGCCAACCAAAGAGAGTCAGCCTGTCTAAGCTTAACCCTATGGAGTGTGGAGATTGCTCTTATAGTTTAAGTATGACAGAGAAACCAAAATATTTCAAGAAAAGAAATATGGCACTGAAAGATTCATGAAAATTATTCTATACAGTCCATAAGAAATGAAAAAAAATGGAAGTTCACATGGAATGATAACCAGTGAAAACTAAGAAACTGACCAGCATTTGAAAAGAAGGTACAAAAACTGGAATGGATTACTTCATAAGTCTGCAAGAATCAACAAATCTGGCACAGCATGATAAAAGAATGACAATAATGCCACTAGCTAAGAGAAATTATTCATTGGAGCAATGGCAAAGTTTCAACAGATGATGAATGGACCATAAATAAATGGAGCATTTATTAATTTTGGGTTGGACAAGTACATACAAATCAATAGAGATATTTTGCATCTATCTCTATGGAACGGTGACTTTGAAGAAGAAGTTAACATGTCTTCTTTTAAAAAAATACACAGGCCATATCAAGAACTCATGTTGGTGGCATAGAAATATTAGCATACTGAAGCAAAGTAAATAGATGTGTTTACATGTTCTTGGGAGAACTGTATACTTGTTCTGGCTTATTATTCTTGCCATGCTGAAATAGATTTCTTAGGAATTTTATAGCTAAACAATGGATTGCACATTTCAAATCTATTTTTGCTAGATATTGTATACCTCACTTAATAATATGCCACAGTTTGGTGAACATGAGTTTAACTGATTTGCAGTTAAGTACAGATTTTGCCACAGAACCACTAGTTACCATTATCCCCCTGTATAACAGGTTGGTGGAAAACAGTGCCAAATAATAAAGTGCATACTGAAATAGGTTGTGGACTTAGACTCTGATCCATTTGTAGAAAGGTTACATTAGAAAACATCACTAATGAAGCATGGGCTGTTATCTGCTGATATTTTATTCAACAGAAAGCTAAAAACAAGATCTTCAGTGTTAGAAATTGACAACAGAGACATTGGGATGTTTCAGATATATAAAGAAATAGATAAAGCAATTAAAAAAAATTACACATGACTTTGGGTCGAAGGAGCTACTCCCTTTTCCTAAAAGTGACACTTTGTATTTCTATATTAGGAAAAAATATTAATGAACAATATAGGTATCTTGATATGTAAAACATAGTGGGCACATCTAAATGTGCATTTACTCGCACCTACATTTATTGTACAGTAAGCTATTGCACAGCAAATGAGTTTGACTAGGTGTCTACACGTGTAGAAATCTGGCAGAAAATTTGCTGTCAGGTTCCTCCAGCCCTGCTCTGTGACCCTATGGCCACGGCGGGGAGAGCTCCAGGCTCCGCCTCCAGCTGCCAGCAGCCTGGCAATGCTTTTTAAAACCCAGACCCACTCTGTGCTCTCTGGACTGCAAGTTCCTGGGCTCAGAGGAGCAGTGTAGCATGTACAGAGGCAGCATGTGGCAGTACAAATGCTTGTACACCAATGCTCGTAGCATGGGGAACAAACT